AAACAGAAATAAATCATCGCTAGTTTTAATGTTCCCTTTTTTAAAATAAAGGCTTAGCGTATTATAAGGACAGGTTACTTTTCCTGTTTTCGCAATGAGGACATTCTGTCCTTTGTTTGTCTGATCTGTTTTACTTGATCTTATAAATAACTGCAGATGATCTTCTTTGAATATTACGTCAGAACATTTCAAATTTCTTAATTCTGAAATGCGAAGAAATCCGGCAAAACCTATAACAACAAAAGTTAATGTCCTTAATTTGTACAAATCTACTACGTCAGGCGGAAAAAATGTAAACATTTTTGTAATATCTTCAGATGTCAAAGCTTTTTTCTTATCTACTGGTGAACCGCACAACTTTTTTGCAGCAGTTAAAACTGAATTAACCGTTTTTGACTCACATGGGTTTTTCACGTCACTAAAATCATGCGACCATTTCAATGCATAAAAACTATGTTCAATTACTGCGTACGAGCTCTCTTTTTGAATCAATGAAACTAAAAATAAAGCAATATGAAAATCCAAAGCGGGATATATTTTAGCTATTTTCATCTGGTTGCACCATGCAATCCATTTTCTGAAGTAAGACGAATATTGTTTCCTGGTATTGTCAGATTTACTTTGAAGCACTATCTCGGGTAATTTATCTGCTAGATCTTTTAAATTTGGATTTTCTTCAGATAAATGATGAAGATCTTTCCATATGCAAAATTTGAAAATATCTGAAAAAATGTAAAATAATAAACAAATAAAGCATGCTGGGAAAACTTGAGTCCATTGACCTTTTTTTTTTTTTTACACCATTTTTTTTTTTTTTTTTTCATTGCTACAACTTTCAGTTATTAATTCATTTTTATTTTCTTTCTTTCTTTCATTCTTTCTTTTTCTTCTTTCTTTTCTTTTCTCGACAAAACCACTTAATTGTCGTTATTCATTTCCACAACTTTCCATTACAATATTCATCCCATTTCTTTTCTCCTTTATCTTTTCCTATACACTCTTTTATTTTCTTGCATTTATATTATATATATATATATATATATATATATATATATATATATATATATATATATATATATATATATATATATATATATATATATATATATATATATAAACATGTATATCACATGTATGTATCGTGTAAACAATCACGATTTTCTCTATCTTTTCAACAGGTCAATGAATTCAAGTGAATTACAATACGCATGCTCGATAACACAAATACTTCTGTGTGTCATTTAACAAAAACGAGAAAAACACGTGGGAGACTGTATTAAAAACATTCAAGTTACTAAAAATAGAAATAAAAAACCCGAGAAAGGCGGAGCAAACTATTTATATTCAATTCTTATTTTGATCGGGCATCAAATTTAATAGCTAAAACAGACCCGTTGAAACGGCCAGATCCAAACAAAGATTTTTTATTATTGCCGGGTATAATGATTTCTGAATTGTTAAACTCTAAGGCGTCTGAAACATAATCTCTCCAAGTGCAAATTTCGTCTGCAAAAACAAGAGGCCAGAAAGCAGCCGAAGGCCATTTCGGCACAATCAAAGTACCTGAAGCCTGACAGTCAATTAAATGCAAAATACATTTGCATGCTAAACACACGGGTGGAACTAACCAATTATTTTCTCCTAGCCAATTTTGAGAAAACGCGTCAATAGCCTCGCTTTCTGGATTCCAAAACTTAGAATTGAAACGAATTATTTTTCTGTTATCAACATTAGCAAAACGGTCAATAGTAAATGGTCCCCATAATGAATTTATAAAATGAAAGAAATCATCGGACACGCACCAATCGTCTTCATCAATTAGACGAGAAAAGAAATCGGCAATTTCATTTTTTGAGCGAGGTACCCAAAGTATGGACAAATCTATACTTTTCTCTTTGCAAAATGAAAAAATTGATAAAGCTAAGGAATGCAAGTCGGATTTTGAACTTCCGGCGTTGACGATAACTTCACAATTTTGGTTATCTGTGAACCACTGTACGCGCTTATCACTCAGGAAATTTGACAAGGCCCTTATACCCCATTCTATACATTTTAATTCTCTCCAAGTAGAACTTTTGTGTTTTTCGGAATCTGACCAGGTCTTATGTGCAATACTTTCAGCAATATGCGGTGAAAAAGCCGCACATGCAACGTCACTAGCATCCGAATACACAGAAATAGACCCTTGTATCGTACGAACAGGAAACAGCTGCTTTATGTTAATATTATCAATATTGTCAGACCAAAAAAATAACTCTGGTTCTATATTTCGGAAAGAATCCCAGTAGCTGCTGCTCATTACCTTTGCATATACAAACCTAGTCATTAAGCGACCAAGCTGTCCAATGACAAAATGCATAGAAGCTATCATACCCGTTATTTTTGCTAGATGTCGCGCAGTGACCCTCTTTTTAGACTTAGCTTCAGAAATTGCGCTCTTCAAATTATCAACTCTTTCTTGTGTTATTTTCAAAACACCTGCTTTAAGGTCAAAATAATGACCTAACCAGGTCATCGTCTGAGACGGAACCCATACCGACTTTTCATTGTTAGTTAAAAAACCGGAAGCGTCAAGAGAAGTCCTTACCAAATCGGAATCAGCATAAGTCTGATGAAAGGATGAATTAACCGACCAACCGTCGTCTAAATATACAATTATTTTTATGCCTTGAATACGCCAGTATTTTACAAGCTCTCTCAAAACTTTAGTAAAAATAAAACCCGAGGAACTCAACCCAAACGGAAGAACGGTAAACACATAATATTTTATATTATTGCCTTGATTAAGCGAAAAACCCAAGAATGTTTGATGTTCTGGAGCGATATCTATGTGATGATAACCCGATGTAAGATCAAATTTAAACATATGAGTACCCTTTTTGACGTATTCTAAAGCTAATTTTACATCCTCAAAACGCGTTTTTTCTTTCCAAATGTACTGATTAATATGCCTTAAATCTAAAATTAATCTTTTCTTGCCAGAACGATTCACAGAAACTGTGAGAGGATTTACTACTAAGGGCTTAAAAGGCACCTCTAAAACGCTCCCAGATATCAACAGTTCCGAAACGGCATCTAAAACAAAGGGCATGTTTTCTAAGGCCGACTGATTATTTTTCAAGCATACTGAAACTGGGGTGTGAATAAAAGGAATAAAGTAACCATCTCTGATAACGCTTTTTATATAAGTGCTTGCGCCTATCTTATCCCAAAAAAATATTTTTTGTTTTAATCTGCCTTTTACTGAAATTTTTGGAGAAAACTGTCTTTCTTTTAACTCAAAAAATACCTTTTGTTCGCTATAAGAATGAAAAAATAAATTATACTCAACTTTCAAGTCTATCATTTGATCCTTGGAAACGTCGACTTCACTGTTTCTTAGGTTCCGACTCTGAGTAGACTGCACCTCCGTTGGACTTCCGGTTAAAGATGTTGTGAGGACAGGTAGATCGGTAGTGCCCGAACTTGCCACAGGCAAAACATTGGTCTGTTGGTCTTGGACCGTAGAAAGGTTGCTGGCGCCACTGGTTGTTGTATGTGAAGGGACGAAAATTGCTAATCCCTGGATTATGAGATGCCATAGCAAATCTGTCGCCGACAGACCTAGAAAAATTGTTAACGTTATAAGGAGAAAAACGTTGAGCAGAGTTGAACTTGGTAAATGACTTTCTCCTTTCATCCCGTTCTTTTAAAATCGCCAAAGCCAACTTCTCTGCGTTTTTGATTTTCCTGCTATCCTCGTCGTCGCTTGCCAAATCGTCTTGTTCGTATTCTTTGACAACGAGCCAGCCTGCCGGAGATTTGTCCGCTAATTTGATCAGTTTGACACGGTGATTAATTTTCTTCTGAATTTTCGCACAAATGTCACTGATTTCACAGTTCTCTATAGGATTTGTAAGACATTCCAAGTTCTGAACAAGAGAAAGCAACTCACAGTTATAGTCAAGTTGATCTTGTAGAGCTTTTGACTTGAGAGTCGTAGATTTCACGGCTGGCGGAATAGGAGCGTTGACGAAATCTCTCTTTATTTCGGAAAATTTCTCATCAAAGTACGCCTTTAGTTCGTCAAAATCCCTGGACATGATTTCGAGCGCAGAAAAACCAAATTTCACAAATGGTCGGCGTGAACGTAATGCCTCGAATGACTATATTTTATCAACTTACACGTAAAATCGTGCATAATTACCGCCAAAACTATAACCATTAAAAAACACGAGGAATTACCATATATGGAAAGACACGGTGTATGCACCGTAAATAAATACATTACCTTTGAGGTGATACAGGTTTATTTTCTTTTGTTTGTGTAGGACTTTTAATATTTGTAACAGATGTAGAACTTGACTTCTTGACCCCTTTTTTGTCATATAAAGCGTCTGTAGATGTTGATGGCTTAGGTCTGTTGTTTGGAGCTGACGATGATGATGACGATGATGGCCTAGTATTGCTGTCTGATGGTGAATACTGTAAAAGTAGATAAGAGTAATGATTGATATACTCAAATATCAAATGAATTTATAACAAGAGCAAGCAGATTGAAAATATGTTTTTATTTAGAAGAATGTACAATTAGGATTATTTGTAATTTTATGTGGCATGATAAAATTTTAAAAAAAATCATTAGTAAAATGGGAGATTAAACATTGGAATAAAACTTAAATCTGTGTGCCTTGAACAATGACTTCCAATACAAATTAAAAAGGTATTTGGCAGTGTGATTTTGAAACAGTCAAATTATATATGAAGGTAATAAACAAAATGCACATTCACTGTTAAATTTAACTACTCTGAGACACATATAACTTAAATTTATACATGTTTCAACTTCTTATAAATAAAAAAAAATTAATAATAAAATGAAATATAAATGCATACCATAAAATTGACAAACGACATAAATAAATACAGGTATGTCAATAAACATTATTTGATTGGGGTCACAATGCGATATAATGGCAGTTGTAAGAAAATACATACAGAAAAAAAGAAGAAGAAATATACAATTAATTTTCTTTTAAATAATGAAATAAATTAATGAATATGTTACACACCCATGGGATTGATGGTTTTCTTATACCAGAAACACTTCTATATCTTGGTACAGCTATTTCTGGAAGTACATGAGTCCAATAAAATGCTTTCAACTTTGGAACCATTTTATTTATCCACAAATCTTGATCTCTGTAAATTCTTTCAATATAAATATCATAAGGGTTGGAACGCCTTATGATAAGGTCACACCAATCTTTTCTCAAAATATTTAATTGTCCTTGTATTTGGTAGAAGAATTTATGGTTAACTTTGAGAGCAAGAGTTCCAGATCTTATTCCTAAACAGAATTTTTTTTCTTTTTTGGCAGCATCTTTAATCATTAAATCTTTGGTTTGCAGGATATTCTTTATTTCAATCAATCCTGTGGAACCATCTGTTTCTTTTACAATTCCATCACTAGAAGATGCCAAAAATGGATAGTCTTCACTAATTATCAAACCTGGTACCGTTATGTGACATTTATGTGATGGTGATTGGTCCTTATTTTTCAAATTGATGTATTCCTTTCTGGTATTTTCTTCCTCCATTAACCCTTTACGTGTGTATGAATTGCCTCCAAAATTGGAATATAGAAGTCTTTTGGTTAGCATTTCACTGTTGTTATTGACATTTCTGCTCATAACTTCTCCAAATACAGAACTTGTCAAACGCTTTTTCCTTTCACTTTTCCATTTCTCATTATTGGACTGACCTCTTGTCTCCAATTCTATTATGTCTATTTCATTTTCTGTTACTTTTACATTGTCAATGAAGTATTCTTCACACAATTTTTCAAGTTCTTCTGAAGGCAAATCTTGAGTATCCAAAAGAACGTTTTTTCCATAAGATTGTTTTGCTTTTTTGCTTTTATTTTGTTTAGAAAAATTCATTTTTCTTTTATAGCGATTTAATTTAGTTTCAGGTTTTCGTTGCCTTTTTACAGTTCTAACATAATGTTTTGCTCTTTGTCTGTAGGTTTCCATGAAAACTTGATCTGGCCTAAGTCCTGTTACTTTAGAGTAAACCATTGGTGACCAAGCTGGTCCTCTTGTTGACCTTAGTCCTCCTCCATAGCATCTGGCATAAAATGAGCCCCTGAAGCACCGGTTGGTCATCTTTCCGCCATCAAATTTACACCTGATGTTCATCCAGCTTTCGGCTAAATTACTTGTGAAATTGGATATTAGACGATCTGATTTTAAGGCCATCCTACTAAGTATCAGGAATAAATCTTTCAAAAGATCTGGGTTAACCTCATTTTTTGAAAATCCACCTTCTCTTATATCATTTTCTTCCTCTTCTGAAAGATCTTTTACTGTTTCAGACCACATGTCACATGCATCTTTGACAGCATCACCATCATCATTGTAACCATTATCATCGTCATCATCATCAACCAATTTAACATCTTTTTTCGCATGCTCCTTTGATGCTTTTGTAAACTTACAAAAGTCTGTACTGCATTCCTTATGTACACCAAGTACATGCCTAGCACAATTTTTAATATCAGCACAAAGTTTTTTTTTCGCTGAAGCAATATCTGTTTCCTTACTCCTCATGCGTATGGCACATCTCACGCCTTGGACAATCTTTTTCCTGACTTGTGCAGTAAGACCACCTTTTCCTTTATAGTGTGGTTTATCAACAACCAACTGTTCTAAGTGAGTCCTGAGACATTTGCAAGCATGATTCGCACATTCAATTTTTTGAACATATGGACCCCAGCCAGCAACATTTTGTATTATGCTTGAATACACTGAGCTATCACCGTCTGCAATGACTTTCATGTATCTGACCCCATGTACTTTTTCACAATTCTGAAAACCATCCAATATAATATCACTCTCCATTGACTGTGCAGAATCACTCCAGTTTTTAAAACATGTATGCGCTCGAGGTGACTCATTTTTGTTTTGAGCAGCACTACAAATGTAGCATAATTTATTACGAATGCCAATATGTAATAGTTTTTTGGAGTATAAACCAAAGATCACTGCAACACCTGCCATGGCATTGTATGTGTGTTTATGAGAACGCTTGCACCAACCACCATCACATACAACTGCAATGGATGGTACACCTTGATTAAAACTTCCTTCTTGTATTGCATGTTCTCTTTCTTCATTACCTGCAGCTTTCATATCATCCTGTAAAACTTCCCTCCACCACTCTCCTATCTGCTCTTCAATTTTGGTATATTGATTTGGCTTCAAGCCAGGAATTCCCATAGTACCTAAGACTTCATTCAAATCTGAGCATCCACCACCTGTTACCATACTACCCCATACACCTTTGACATTAATATCGGAAACTTCCACACCTTTACATGACAAATTTTCACCTTTATTGAAACTAAATTCCATATCACATCCTCTACATGTTGCCTTAAAAATACTTTCCAAACCATTTCTTTTCTCAGAAGACAAAAATATAGGATCAACACCTTTCAATGCACAATCTCTTGCTTTTTCACACAGTGCTGAATGCATTGTTATCTCACCAACATGACTTTTTAGACCATCTAAATTAATGATGCGATTTCCCGGAAAATCAAATTCAGCAGTAGAAGTAAATGTTAATTTCAAATTATCAGAATTCTTGTTAATAATATACCTTCTTGCTTTCTGGATACTTAGTCGGGATAATGTTAATTTAAGGTCATTCTTTTTCTTAACACACATAAGCAAAGGTTGTCTGGTTCTTTTAATAGTTTTTATACTTTCCTCTAACTTTTTCTTAGCAAAACGTTCTTTCCTCCTTCCCATCAATCCAAATTTTCCCCCTGCTACACCAAATCTACTGTATCTTTTCTTGCTTTTTAATCTCTTATTACCCATTGCAAACACTTCACAATAAATCCAATCTATATATTAATATATGAAAACACTGACTAAAATAATCCAAAACTTATAATAATAAATGTCAAATTTGCACCTTCTTTTACACCATACTTCACTAATTTGCAAAAGTAAGCCATGTGTTTCAAAAACAAAAACAACTATTTAATTTTTTTTTAACTTTTATTTTTCAAAACATACAATATAATGCTGAAATTAAAGATTAAAAAAAAAATTGTAAACAAACCTTTCGTCAGTTGTTGACAAAAATGTCGGTAAATACACGATTTGCACAGTAATATCTCATAGTGACCCCAATCGTACATGATCATATTATAAATATTCATGTCTGTTATCAAAAAATACTAAAAATGTACGTGATCATGAGTAAATATCCATACCTTTATGTAAAATTCAATACAAAACAAAATTCTCTGCCATCATTCTAGCCGCCATTACTGCTACCGTTTTTATCCTATCTTTATCAAATGGAGAACGGGTACCAATTCTGTACTTGATTTCCGGAAAATAAATAACCTCTATTGCCAGAAAATATAAAAATAAGTTCCTTTCAAAGTAAACCGAAAGGTAAACTTTTTTATTGCAACATGTAGCATTTCAATCAATTAACGTTAATATGTTAAAACTAATATTTAATATTTTAAAAAGTCACGATCTTTTCTGTAAAAACTTTTGTTGCGGATTAATTTGTTCCCGGTAATTTTTGGCCGAATGCATAAAGGGGAACCAACAACGTAAACAAAATGAAGTGATTATTTATGTGCAGTAAAATCACAGAAATGTGCTATAATTCAAAGCAGTTATTAGTCAATACATAGAGGAAGGTAATATTTACAGTTTTGTTGCAAAAGATAAAACGATCCCTGCAAATGACGACATCTATCTTACGTTTAATTTCATAAACAAAACCGGTTTCCATACTGAAAAAATACAAAATGGCGTCCAAAATTTTTCAAGTGGCATAATACTGGAGGATAAAGCATTTATTTAATTGTTAATTTCAATTTGTAAACAAGTGGAGCACTTAAACAGCATAATTGTTTGACCAATTCTTGTGCTAAACTTATTTTACAAAGTAATATAACTTGAAAAAAAAGACATAAAAAACGGGGTGAATATTCGATTTTTATTTCTCATAAACTTCAAAACGTTACTAACTTCTGTCTCTGGAAATGGTTTAACATTGAACTAGTACTGTTTTGCATCAAAATATTTAATAATGAGATTCAATGATGGCTAATTTCTGATATTTTAATGTTTGAATTTGGTGTAAAATGTCAAGGTCAGCAATGTCTGTCAGACAAGTTACCTTAATCAATATTGCATTGTGCTAACATCTTTATAATGTGTCAGCGGAAATTTATAAATATGATTACAATTTAAAATAGTAATTTTCAACTTCTAAAGATTATTAATTACAGCATTTAGTTGCTTAAATTTTGTGCAGAATAAATAGTTTGGATCATAATACTTGGCCAGATATTCTTTATTTTGTTAACTTGGTGAACCTAAATTTTTGTTAACGTCAATGAAATAAGAATTCGAACTGGTATAAAAATAGCTGTAACAACCTCAGTTGTAAATGTAAAATAAAACATGTGAAAATCAGACGATCAAGTTTGATCTCATGATCCTGACTTGAACAACCATGAGTTAAGCTCTCTAATTTATGGCTATAAAACAAGTCTCACAAAATATAGAGTTATTATGAATCTTAGGATAACCACTCAAAAAGATACTGTAAGGTCTACTTCAAGCTACATTTAAATTAAAATAAATATGTAAACATATTTTGCCGTCGGCCTAAAAACCAAGCATTCTATAGTTTCATTAACCTTTTTAACAGTATTGTTGAAAATCTCATGAAATATTGTTCATTAATTAGGATTTTAAACAGGAAACCCCACGGTAACACTTAAGATCGTATACGAATTTTAACATGCAAATAAGACTTTAATCAGCTCGTGTATGCGCTACGTCACAGTTTTATAGTTGCTATCCAGAACATAGCAAATATGATATTTTCTTGTACAAACACACTTTAACCGTTTTAGCTTCACGGTGCACTAAGCCTAGGGTTCAGAAAAAGTTATCATCACATTAAAAAAATTAAATTTGTATGAAAACATCCGTTACAATGCGGAAATATACAGTTAAATAAGGAATGCTACTTATAAGTCATGTTTGTTGATTTAATATTGATGTACGGATGATCCGAGGGCAGAGTTTCTCATGCAAACAGAAATAGTACTGACGATTTCGCCACAATGATGTTGCCCATTTTTATGCTAATAAAACTTATTTTGGTTGACTGGACACCAAAATAAGATATAGGGTCGATATGAAACCCAATTTATTAATGAAATGTCGCTATTTATAAATGTAGCTTTAATACATATTTAAAAAACTTTTTGTAGGACTTTTGGATTTTGCGCGAACGATGGCATATTACGGATGTAATACAATTTCTGCACTCTTCAATTTCGTTTCAGAATGAAAGTAAAAGATGAGACTGTCGGTTGGTTGCCATGCAGGCCATATTTTACAAAATTTGGCACGTTTGATATCGTATAGAAATTTGCAACTTTAATAAGTATGTTGTTTTTTCTTTCTCTATTACGTAACAATCAACCCTTTTACAACTGTCTGTTGAATGGATGTATAAAATTAAATGATTAATCATAGCGGACGTACAGACATAAAGTGAATTATCGCAGAAAAATTCTCTGGACAAGTGATAGATAATTTTTTCAAAACTAATAACAAACTACATCTATTGTTTCATTCATATTATTTCTGGTCAGACAATGAAGGTTACTAGATCCGTTACAAATCTTCCGTTAGAAATATCACGGGAGAGGAACTGTTACACGAAGACTGGAGTTCTTATGATAACTTGTTTGGAGTTCTTATGATAATTGTCACGGAGTTCCTGGAAAACGTTACGGATTTCTGTTTTAAAACTTTTCTATATACTTGGAGAACTCACTTAAAATATGGTCATTTTTATATTAAAATGGAGAGTTTGGTGTGCTAAATTAAACTTTGATTAAGCTTGCCCTTCATTCGTATTGTATTATGTTTCAAAAAAACACTTTTAACCTGTTAGGGCTGATCGTATTACGTTTCATGATTATTTAAACACTTATTTAATAATAAAATACGCTTAAACGTGCCGTAATTAAGCACAAGAAACACACTGGCAGTGACAAAAGTTATCATAAGAACTCCGTGACATTTGAAAAATCGGTTATAAATTTATAAGCCTGGGCTTTATATTTGCAACTTTCCATTATAATTAGGTAATTAAGTATAGCAACAAAGAAGATCAGTATTGGTACGAATGATCAAGTAATTTTTAAATTTTACTCAAAATTACCAGAATTTTTATAAAAAGGCGATGAAAAGTGGACTAAAATGCTTTTCTGAATACAATATGTAGGGCAAGCTTAATTATCAAAGTTTAATTAAGCACCTCAAACTATTATTTATTTAAAACATGACCATTTTTCAGGCGAGTTCTCCAAGTATATAGAAAAGTTTTCGGCAGAAATCCGTAACATTATCTTCTTTCGTATTTTATACTCGTTTTAACACTACTCCTATCCAGTATTTTACAACGTGTCAATAGATAAACAAATAAATAAAATATAAAAAATAGGAACCTGGAATAAAGGTTCATACTTATTCATTTCCTTTACAAAATTCATGAAAGTGCTTGCACATATAAAAAAATAACTTTGCTTTTACATCAATTACTGTCAACTTGCCAGACCGACCGAAACGTGTAGTTTAAAATAGGAGAGGTCACTCGTGTTACTAAAAATTAAGTAAATCATTACAAAAATTGTTCATACCTCAACATGTTCTGTAAATATTAACATTTTCATATTTAAATCATAACAATATAATCTTTATTTTTCGTTCCCGTATATTGTTAACACCCTCAACAGTATTTCAACAATTTTACTGATTATTCACGCAATGCTGTGAAGGGATGAAGTGACGGTTGTAAATGTTGAATAACAATTCATAGAAATAAAGCTTGCCGTGATCTAAACCTTCTGATCTAGAAAGGTATTATCAGCAATGGAGTATTTATCCATATAGATTTAATATATAAAAAACTTTAAAGACCCTGAAATGAACTTTTATTTCTAACCTGGTGTTCCGCTAAAGTTTTCGAAATGATATTTAATGATTGGTTATCATTTGCTGTTTGACCATCAATCAAGTAATTGTGATTTAGTGTTTATATGGATGGCACAATACATCTGTGATACTTATGTGACAAATTATTTTACTTTCAACGCCTGCATTCTTCACATGATCAGCATCTATGACATGATCTAAATACGTTATTCAAACATTATAAAATAAGGTCTTATATTAAAATGATAAAAAGAATTCACTTTCCTGAGGAGAAATGTAAATTTGAACAAAAAGCTTTTTTCCTGCATGCTCATTATAAATAAGATATTGGTACACGTGAAAGGTTAGAAATATGGACTCCAAAACGTGATAGTATGAACAAAAATTTCAGAAACATATTTGACATATATTATCTCCTGAATTTCTTAATTGAACATGTCTGGTTTCTATTTTTAAACCTGTATATTGTCGCCTTTATCTGATTGGAGCGAATGGGATATTTGAAAAATGTTTTGTTTACTTTTTATTTCTTTTGGCCCAGTCAAACCATGGACGATTTCAGTTGTAAAAAGGACTAATCAAGATATAAGGTTTTTGCAAGTAATTTCATCTTCATTGTATTTCATTAACAAACTATTGACGTCATAAAATGAGCATTATTATTCATTGTCTAAATATTTTTTACAATAAAAACACTTGATTAAAGGCAAGCATGCCTAATTTTAAAGCAATTTTTGTGACAACTGAAGGTGACATTTCGTGACAGACCGACGGGAAAATCTTGATCAAAATAAGGTGACTTTGAACGAAATATCAGACCTAACCAAGGTTATTAAGTATTTTGAAATATTCCTTTAAGTTATTTCTTCTGAGAAAATGTCTGATTGTTTCATACACAATGAACAAAATGAGGTTTCCAAATAAAGTAAAATGAGTGATGACTGTGTTTTCATTAACTACACATTGTATCTATTCCTGATATATGTAATTCATTTA